GTTGAATCAAATAAAAGGAAAATTCGAAAAAAGTTATTCTGATGTTCTGATGAAAAAACATAATTCTTTGTGTACACCTAAACAAAATGAACAGACGCTGATTTTGAAACCGAAAAATGAACAACCTGCGGAAAAAACAAGAAATGATCTAGAAAAAAATGTAAATATCACCAAATTGAGAGTTCGAGTACATTCTTTGAAAGAAATGCGTATTGGCAATTCATTAATAAAATGCGAGCATGAAGAGGATATTGAAAAAATTCAAAAATTACCATCCAGATATGACGCAGAAATAAAGAAATTGATGAGACCTGAAATTAAAATTCCAAATTTGAAATTAGACCAGAATATATCAAAGGAACAACTACAGAAGATGATTATTGAACAGAATAATATAATACACAAAGATGACACTTAACAAATTGAGCACCTGAAATTTTTTGATAAAAAACGTACATATACAGTATATGCAGATATAAATGGGAAATGATATGAAAGAATAATGGCAAAAAACGATGGAAAACTTTTTGTTGGTTGGCAAAATTTAAAAGTATATGACAATAATATTGTGAGCCAATGCAAAAAATGTTATGGATTCAAACATAAAAGTAATAAATGCAGGAATAAATTATAGTGTCCTCGTTGTTTTGGTGAACATGGAGTCAGTTCATGTTCGAATAATGAGCCATTGAAATGTAATAATTGTATAATATCAAACCAACGCTACATGAAAGATTATTCTGTGAATCATACAGCTACAGACGAAAATTGCCCAACCCTCAAGATTCATCAAAACCAACTGGAATCAAAAATTGACTATGTTAATTGAAATAAAACTAATACAAAAATATGATTAACAACTCCACTGTTAAGTTAACCGAATTGAGCTCCATCGACGATTTGGAAAAAGATGCCAATACCAGAACAAGAATTTTATATCTAAATTCGAGATCGATAAGAAATAAAATGGAAGAACTGGAAATTATCATAAGTGAAATGAATATTGCAGCAGTCATCGTCACTGAAACATGGTTGAATAAGGAATAAGAGATATATTTCAACTTTAAAAACTACAATGCAGTATATGCAAGTCGTCAAAAACGAGGGGGTGGTGTTGGAATTTTCATTCATGAGAGTTCAGAATTTGACATAATTCAAAAAGAAGAAACAACTCTAACATATTTGGCCATCAAAATCGAATCCCCAGATATGATACTTTGTGGCGTTTATCGAACACAAGACGTAAATATTCAATATTTTCTCGAATTTATGGATAGGACACTTGATGCAATCAATAGATTCGAATGTGAATGTTTTTTCTTTGGTGATATGAATATAAATGTTTCATCGATTAGTGATGAGTTTGTAGATATTTACAAATCTAGTAATTTCAGAAACTGTAATGAAACTATTCCAACTAGGAGTTCATCATTTGTCATTAATAATTCATTGAGTGACCATAAATTTCATTTGACTTACATACCACTACTAAAATTGAATAATAAAAAATATGTGAACAAGTTAATAAATACATATGATATTGAAAAATCAAAATCGGAATTGGAAATACTCAATGATGATGCATATGGAAAACTACTGGATACTTTTCATGATTGTACTGTTTCGAAAATGGTTGAATCCAAATGTGATTCAAAGCCATGGTTCAATAGTACTATAAGTAAATTGATCAAATTGCGAGACAAATTTCATTATAAAAAAAAATCTATCCTATAATATAGAATATTCTGAAGAGCAATATAATATCTATAATAAATTACTGAAAAAAAGAATACGTGAAACAAAAAAAGAATTTTATGATGATACTTTTTTTAATGGTACTCCAAAATCAGTATGGAATGGTATAAACTCAATCTTATACAACAAAACGAAGAACAAAACAGAAAATATCAAATGTATTACTGTGAATAATGTACGAATTAACGACTTCCAGGAAATGAGTAATGAAATCAATAATCATTTCATCAATGTAGGCCAAAATTTATCTTCAAAAATTACTATAATTTCTGACACTGTGAAAGATTGCTCAAGTGTTCTATATATGTTCCTAATTCTCACGAATATTTCAGAAATTTAGAATATCATTGATAATCTGGATGTTCGAAAATGCTGTGGATTTGATTATATTAATAATATAATAATAATATGTTTATTCAAAAACGTTCACAAAATATACATTGGAATAAACAGATAGGTATTTTGAATGAACTGGGAAAAACCTTATGAAGTTAACCTTGTAGTAAGGATAAAAAAAAATGTACATAGGTCAATGAATATTTAACAATATCAAATCATCACAAGGAAAAAATTGTCAATTGACAAGATTTAATCCATATTATATAGTGTACTGAGCATTTCATTCAATACGCATAATTATTTATATTCATACGTACTTATTCACAATTATTATTAAAATTTTTCTAATGATATTATTGAATGTTAATTAGAGAAATAAAATAATTTTCAGGGGAGTTTAATATCCAGTTCTTTATTTTTATTGTATAGGATTGTAGTGATTTTGTTTTTATATCATTTGGAATTTTATTATATAGGTAAGGAATTAAAAATTTATAATTTCTACGTCCGAATGACTTGTTTGTTTCATATTTCAATGTTATGTTATTTTTATTTCTTATATGTCAGATATGTTTTTTGAACTGAATGTCCTTTTTATTTCTGAAAATATGAATCAGTCAATTGTAAATATATAGTTGATTTATATCCATTTTCTTAGATTCCTTATATAAAAGTTCAGTGGGAAACAAATAATCTTTTCCATGAATAATTTTCGAAATCCATTTTTGTGCAATTTTTGTTAAGATTGTAAAAGTAATCGAATTTGAGTTAGCTTCTATTTTGTTAAACATGATTTCCAAATCGCTCAAAACTGGTATAATTCCTGACAAAGTGAAAATTGCTAAAGTATTACCAATTCGCAAAAATGGAAAGAAAGATGATTTAAATGATTATAGACCAATTTCTGTTCTCCTGATCTTTTCCAAAATTTTAGGAAAAATTATGAATAACCGTCTAATGAATTATCTTGAAAATAATGGCCTATTGTTTATAGTGAACAATATGGATTTCGTAGGTCAAAAGACACAGAGGTAGCTGTGATGGATGTCATTTCAGATATTCAGTTACGAATAGATGACAATGACAAATGCGGCATTTTGTCTCTGGATCTCTGTAAGGCCTTTGACACTGTAAATCATTATATTTTATTGACTAAATTATCATCAATAGGTGTCAGAGGCAAAATTCATGATTGGTCCCAAAATTATTTGAAGAATAGGAAACAGTATGTTGATGTGAATAATACTTGTAGTTCCTTGATGAATATTACATGTAGTGTACCGCAAGGACCAGTTTTGAGGCCAATTTTATTTTTAATCTATATCAACTCAATATCTACTTTAAAATTGGAAGGAAAACTGAAATTATTTGCAGATGATACAACAATAGTCTATACTTCAAAAGATTTCAACGATATCAATAATGATATTAAAAAGGATTTGAAACAAAAAATATCATCTTGGCTAACGACCAATAAGTTGACTCTTAATTATAGTAAATCAACGTATATGTACATCTCAAAAAGAACAACGGATATATTGAATAATAGTCCAATATGTTTCAATAACAAATCCATTGAATATACAAATGTAACAAAATTTTTAGGTATTTATATAGATGAACAACTATCGTGGACTCTACATATAGATCAATTGAGAAAAAAAAATTAATCCTATTGCTGGTATTATATATTATAAAATTCGAAATTTCATTCCTGTTAGATACCTAAAGAGTATTTATTTCTGTCTTTTTTATTCAAATATATAATATCTAATATCTATTTGGGGAAGTACAAATATTTCACGTTTGAAGCCACTCATGAAATTACAAAATAAAACAATAAAGTGCATTTCCAATTCACCTTTTCTAGAATCAACTGCGAATCTATACAAACTTAAAGACTTGCTGAATCTAGTTTGATTATATGCACTCAAAACTTGTTGTTTTATTCATTTTGTCAGGAAGGAATTGAAAATATCGAATTTGAATGTTAATGAAGTTAATGCGATTCACGCACATGAAACAAGGCAATTCAATTTATTGATAGCAAATAATTATAAGTCAAATTTTGGTAAACAATCGATATTCCATAATGGAATAATTTCATATAACTCCTTACCTAATGAGTTGAAAAATACAGAAGAAGCAGAAAAATTTAAAATGAAATTGACGAAATATCTGCTCAGTAAACTTCAATTCCATATCTACTATCAGTAGGTACATGAAGAACAATAATTGTGCAATTATTATTGTTTCGATTTATTATGTTAAATGTATGTTTTGTTGTATATATCCCTATTATAAACAATAATGTTTCTTGGGGTAATAAATACAATCAATCAAATATGGGTCTGAGAATGTTTTCGAACGGAACTACGCCCCTTTCAATAGGACAGGTTGAAGACGACTTTTTCTCTATAACTTTAAAAGCTTTCAATATTAAATTTTGAAAATGCTAAATAAGATTCCTAATTCAAAACGTTGAATGAAATGTTAGTTAGAGAAGGTTGTTTTTTTTATGGTGATGCAGAATAATTTTCATCAATATACATACCCAAATCAGAAAATTTTCATCCTTACCCTCCCACGCATATGACAACCCTGATGAAATTTGGAAATTTTGAATTCAGAATCTGTTTGACCATCACATGTTTATACCGTACACCAATTTAAAAAAAATCATTCATAGAGGGTTTCAAAGTTATAGAGAAATAATTATCTTCAAGGTGTTATATTCAAAGGGACGTAGGTCCCTTAGGAAGCAACTTCGTTTTTCGTACTCTGAAATTTCAATAATTATCATCTGAACATATTATAACCCACCCTGTATAAAAGCAGTATCGTCTGCATTGTATTTGGTTTGTGCGTCGTTTTCGTTGGTCTATTTTTGTCGTGCTACAACTCACATGGTGCTTTGTGGCAGAAGGGCTGCAGCGATCCTCCATTCACATAGAAGTCCACGTGGCCCGTCGCCTCCAATTTCCCGAAGGATCCGGCACTGGTGTGGATCACGTCCACGAACGAGGCATCTGAAGCGTCCAGCTTCCAGTCATTCTTCAGAGTAGCGAAAAACGGGAGAGCTGGATCCAGTCCTTCAATCAAATAGTAGATTGTTTTATTAGGATCAAAAGTGACAGTTTGTTCGACAAGCGAATTTTGCATTTGCAGGGCGGAGCGTCTAGTGAAGCCAAGCGAAAGCAAAATTTGCGAGTCAAATAAAGTCATTTTTGATCCGACTGAAACATGCTATATATTCTGCAATCGAAAGGATTAATAAAACTAGATATATGTGGAGTAACAACCGTGCCATATGTATGCTATGCTACAAATAATATGTGTGGTGAGAATTAGGTTTATTCAATTTTCAAGGATGTTCGAACTGTAGTTCCAATATACATATAACCATAGAGTGGCCCATTTGTGTATGGACCAAGTGTCAGCCCTAATAGCAAATACCGCGCTACTGCCAGGTATGAAATGTCACATACAATAATAATAGCGATTATTTATTCCTCTTCATCCTCCACTGTGTTTGGCTCGGTAATCAAATGGAGGTAAACAATTTCGTTGTGTGAAACGAAAAGTGTTGCTGACTGTGATTATTCAAAAACAAGTTATTCATTCTGAGAATAACGAATGAAATACAAATCGAGCAAGTATGTGAATCTTGAAGGCTTTCCTGATCAAAGCTAAGCATGGGTATGAAACACCAAATCTGCCGAAATCGGGAACGAATCAAATCGTCCCAACCCAAATAACCAACCATAACAATGTAGTTCATTATTGATGACCTAGTAGTAGTAGTAGTAGTCGTCGTCGTAGAAGTAGTAGTAGTAGTAGTGGTAGTACATTAGTTCCTAGGAACTGAAAGTGTTGCCTAGCAACACACCTATGTTTGTGGCAGTAATAGAATCGTCAATTCAAGATCTAATTTTGGTATTTAAATGGACAACTTTTGTGTCAGTTGCAGAAAATAGTAGATTGTTTTATTAGGATCAAAAGTGACACTTTGTTTGACAAGCGAATTTTGCATTTGCGAGGCGGAGCGTTTAGCGAAGCCGAGCGAAAGCAAAATTTGCGAGTCGAACAAAGTCACTTTTGATCCGAATGAAACATGCTATTTTTTCTGCAACCGAAACAATTAACTCAAATAAACATGTGAAGTAACCACCAATGCCGTGCAATATGTATGCAATGCAACAAATATTGACAAATAATCCATGTGGTGAGAATATTCTACCTGCATTAACAGCAGGTTAGGTTTTCTAGGATGTTCGAATTGTAGTTTCAATATAAATACAACCACAGAGTGACATATTTGTGTATGGACCAGGTGCTCTAATGGCAGATACCCCGCCAGTACCAGCTATAGGAACAGGACGTGGAAAATGTTAGGTTAGTGAACATATATCAACAATGATAATAGTGATTAATTATTCCTCTCCATACTACACTGTGTTTGACTTGATAATCAAATGAAGATGAACAACATCGTTGTTTGAGACAAAAAACCGATTGCTTGCCGTGATTATTCAAAAACAAGTTATCCATCCCGAGAATAACGAATGAAATACAGATCAAGCAAGTATTTGAATCTTGAAGGCTTCCCTGATCAAAACAAAAATACTTAACTGAGATGTTTATAATTAATTCCAATACCAAACTTTTATAATAAGGTGTATTTATATCTCCAGCATGGCTATGAAATGCCAAATCTGCTGAAATCGGAAACAAATCAGGTATGCGTCTCAACCCAAATAACCAACCGTCACAATGTTGTTCATTCTCGATGACGTCCAGTACATCCTTTTTAGTTCCTAGGAGCTAAAGTTCAACTTTAGCTCCTAGGAACTAAAATTCAACTTAAGCTCCTAGGAACTAAATATGTTGCCTAGCAACATACCTATTTTTGTGTCAGTAATAGAAACGTCAATTTAAGAGCTAATTTTGGTATCAAAATGGACGACTTTTGTGTCGGTTGCAGAAAAATAAAATTTTATCGGGTGACACGTTGAAAAGGTCAAACGGGATTGAGTGAATCAGGAACAGAAAAAAATGGAGAGAGAGAAATTTTACTATAATAATGTAATTGCATTTATTTGATATAATGAAAACTACATCATAGTAGTGAAAAATATAATATCTACTGAATTTATATAGTCATTTCATTATAGTTATGTTTACCATTTTTGTAGGGCTATATACTATAATCTATAGTAGGAAGTTGATCTGAAACAATCATATAGTAATTTTCACTTCATCATATACTGTTCAAATCAATCTGTACATTGTGATAATATCCATAACTTCTTTCACAAAAACTATTAGTATAATGAAAACTACAACATAGTAGTGAAAAATATAATATCTACCAAATTTATATAGTGGGTTCATTATAGTGATGTTGACCATTTTTGTAGGGTTATTTACTATAATATAGTAGGAAGTTGATCTGAAAAATCATAAAGTAATTTTCACTTCATCATATACTGTTGAAATCAATCCGTTCATAGTAAAAATATACATAATTTCTTTCACAAAAACTATTAGAATTTTCTTCATAGAAACATAGTGAAATAGGATGAATTTTTTATGGATTATTTCTATATTGTTGGATAAATTTTGCATGATGTTTCCTATATAATTTCTGTAGTATCTAATACATAGGTACTTTTATAATAATCACCATAATTTTCATTCTTATACTATATGATAACGTTGAACGTTCGCTATTCGCCGTTCATGCCATCATACAAAGTGATCAACGAATCAAGACAAGTCTACAGTAAACGAGAAAATGAAGACATGAAGACGCTGACAAGTCAACGCTTGCTCATTCACTATTCTTTTGGTTTGTCAAGTACAGGGCGATTGTGTTCTCATGTGGTATTTCATGATAACTGGTTAGTGACCAGTGATAAAATGTATCTTATCACCATATGAATTGTTTCGCTGCTTCAGAGTTGGAAATCAACTATATCCAGAAGTCTGAACCAAACATTATTACAAACCGTCACCACCCGTAGCAGTAAAAATGGCAATCTAACAATTCGGTCTCCGCATGGATGAAGCTTTGAGATAGCAGGAAATGCAGAGATTCGAAATCCTGAAGAACAAACTTCGGACTTGATATCGAAATTGATCAAAATCCGATGTGTGATAGATCGGTGAAATCCCTTCTTCAGGAAGATTCCAAAATATACAATACAATGAAATACAGGGTGTTCCATTCGAAATAACAAAGTTATTGCAACTTCTCTGTAGAAGCGGCAACGCCAAAGCGCTGAAAATATTTTAGATCGATAGAACAGAGCTGAGAACTCAAGAAACCCAATTTTCATAATGATCCTATGTTTCATCCTCCAGAAACGTTTGATAGGCCTCGAGTTTGGGACACCCTGTATATATATAAACATGACTTAAAAATAGCATATAGAACAAATAACCCGTTGGGATGGTTTATCGAGAATAATAAAGACAAAACTTCCAAATTCGAGAAATCAGGGGTATACGAACTCAACTGTGGATCTTGTCCTAAGGTAGATATCGGTCAGACAGGTCGTACGTTTGATCAGCGCATCCAAGAACATAAGATGCATTTTTGAATATAAAACAAATTTAACCATATATCAGAAGAAAACCATAGTTTTGATGATAATTTCGGAATTCTACACCTAGAAAATAAAGGAATAAACTCAATCATTTTGAATTATCAGGAATACAGAAGCTCAAAAATTCTAACATTTAACTTAACGGTCAACTAGACCTCAATAGTTCACCACTGTTGAATTTGTTTTCTTATAAGGTAATTATATGTATTTGCTATCAACCCTTTCAAGTAAATCCGGTACACCGTATTTTAATGTAGATATCGTGCCTATTATCCGAAAATGAAGGTTTGTCGAACCTGTGCACAGGTAAATTGTAATCAGGTTGGGGAAGTAGGATATATAAGAGTCAGGCAAGCCAAGGTTAGTTTAGTTCATTGTACCAGTATTTCACCTGATAAAGCTGCTGTGTGGTGTGATTGAGAATATTGTGGAAATCTTATCGTTTGTGAAGTTTCAACATTCAAATAAGCTGTTTGTCAGTAATGATGAAACATTTTCAGTTTGATCAATGAACACAAGTTGTTTACAGAAACCTGCATGCTCACATGAAACTACAATACGATCCTCATCTTCACCCCACTATATCCGATTCATCTATGCCTGATTCGGTCTTTATTTCCATAATATTGTCTATATTTACCTGAATATGCTATACAGGGTAACTCACGGTCGATGGTACGTTAGACGTTTATGGAGAACGGGACATAGGATCATTCTGAAATTTTGGTTACTCACGTAGTTGCTTATGGTTTATCGATCTAAAATAATTTCAGCTCTGCGGCTTTGCCGCTTCTATCGAAAAGTAGCAAAAACTTTGCTATTTTGAATGGAACACCCTGTACTTTATTGCATTTTTTTATTTTCTCTGAAGAGCTGATTCCATCGATGCATCACACTTGGGGTCTAGCGAAAATGATTACAGAGATATAGGGTGTGAAAAATCGACATTTTTCAACTTTATAGGAATTTTTTTGTCGAAAATATTCATTATTGGTCAAAACGGCTTACATGTCCCCATCTCAACTTTTGATTAACTATTTACTGATATTTCTGCACCACCCTGTATTTACTAAATACTTTCAACATTGAAGTTATGTATACCTCGATGAGGCACCCTGAGGCCAACCCTTCGGAACGTGTTATGAAGGAATTGGGCAGGCTGTTCAGGGTCTACTGGCACGATGAGCACACCAGGTGGGCTTTCGAAGTGGTCAAGTTTGGCAATTACTTGAACAATGTTTTCCACGAGTCAACCGGCTTCACCCCTAATGAATTGCAGTTCGGCTCAGATAAAATACGGTTGTTACCTGATAGGTTACGTCCACCGAATATCCCTTTGGTAGAATTCGAACGCAAGGTTTTTCTGGCCCAAGAGACTTCACAAGGTAGAGCTGCTCGGAGGGCGGTCAACCACCCGGGTCGGCCGTACGTGAATTTTGTCACTGGAGATTTGGTTCTTCTACGCGCTAATAATAAGTCGTCTGCAATCAACTTGGAGGTGAAAAAATTCCTCTTACTATTCGAGGTGCCCTATCGCGTTAAAAAGGCCGTAAGTTATGCGACTTATGTCCTTACTTATCCCGAGGATGACAAGGAGCGCGGTACTTTTCACGCCAGTCATATGCGGCGCTACTTTACTCGTGAAGAAGCTGTCCTTCCTTGAGAAATATCTCCTGAGTGACCGCTTGGAGGGTAGTTGAGAAGGAACCACCTCCCTTTACGTCGCCACTGTGGGAATTCCATTTGATGCTGTATTGCTGGTTGCCTGCCGTACCTTCCCTTTGCCATTCTCAGAGTGTTTACTGCTCAGCAGGACTCTCTTTTGCGCTAATCTGTTATTTTGAACTGCACGGTTTATATCGAATGTTTCTCCCGATCATTGATTCTCGTGATTTCCAATCGAAGCCATCTTGAGGTGTATATACACGACGTTATTTTATAGCAACCTTTTGGTAGCGATTCTCCAATAATACAAATTGATTGATCTTGTATAAGAAATATACTTGGTGTTATATTTTAGGTGAGAATATAAGGATATTTCATGAGGTAAAGGTGCACAACTACTTTAATGTTATATTTTAGCGGTCGCGTGTGAACTCAGAGAGTAACAATATACTGAGTGTTGGAATTCGCGGCTTGTTTCTTTTTCGACTTGTAACCCACATCCCAGAGCCAAATGAAGGGTTTGGTCTCAAGCATATTCGTGCTTTTGTGATATACATGTCCATTTACTATCACACCCATTTTATTTATACCTCTACTTATTTTTCTTCGTAAATAAACTTTATTATTATTTTATCATAATTATTCCCTCGCGTGCGCTCCGAGCGATGAAAAAAAACCACCTACCTGTGATCCTCATGAACGAATAGCCCAGCACATCCTTCAGATTCTTCCCCGCGAAGCCAGCCACGTGCGCCCCTAGGCTGAACCCGACCACGTGCACGAAATAAGGCCCAATACCTGACGCTACGAGGTTCGCCGTCAGCGAAGCGAGGCACTGCCCCACGTGCCAGGTGTTGAAGTAGGCCGTGACGTAACAGGGGATACTGGCGAGCGGTTTCCAGTCCACTGGAAAAAAAGACGATGAATGTCCAGGTTCGGTCTTTCACAAACACTCAGTAGAAAACAAAACTATTTATCGAACGGTCTACAATACAAAATACAAAATAACAATGATATCGTCTACAACTCGATCTCCATACTGTGGCCTACTTTTTTATATTGATTGATATAAACCAAAATTGTATAAAAATATAAGACACATGTGCGAACGGCAGCTCTTCGCCAGAGAACAGATAAGTGGATTCGTTGTGATTGCAGATAGTTAAATTTCAAGTTTAGAGGGCGCCACTCAATTTATAAAACAATTACTGATACTTGGATAATTGAGAAAACCAATTAGTTGGATACTTACAGTATTTCCCAAAACTTAATCCTGAAATAGAAATATGAAAAAAATCTTCTTAAATGGCAGTGTCAACACAAATAGATGAATAAAACCATATCAAATTTCAGACCTATTTATTATCACCATAACAGACAGGGTTTATAAAGACCAGTGTAGAGACCAAGATGACAGAATATGTAGCATGTGTTATCATGAAATATCTTAAAGTAATGTGACCATAAAATATCATAACCATGAAATGACTGTTTCTAGAGGAATTCAAAATTATTGTATAAGTTACCAAAATTTATCAATCTACACCATGACAATTACCACCTTTTTATATGACTAGCGTTTGGGTATAGCAATCATCATATTCCAACTATAAAACGGGATGTATAAATCTCAAAAAATTTGATTAGACAATAATCTGAAAAAAACCTGAAACCGCTGTCACATAGTACTATGGGAGAGCTTCACAAGAGCTTCATACATGTTAAATATGGTTATGATCAAAATGTTGAAATATTAAATCAGATTTAAAATATGATGGAATAAAAAAACCTGGTCTATTGGAGGGTCCTCTCCAATGGTCTAATCACCCCTATCCGAGGTCCACTATGGTGAGTAGGCATGCTGTGAAGATGAAGATGGAAACAGGAACGAAGACAGGAACAAAAAGAAGTTGATGGACCTCCACAGTCCACAGTAGGGCTCAGTGGTGTGGCTCAGCCGGTCAGCTTGACCGGTTACTACTGGGCTTGATCTGGGCCACCTGTCGACTCTGGTCAGGATAAAATGAGCGACCTGGTCCTCTTGGGAATCATGACCAAGGTCGAGAGATTATCCCTACAGCTGTTCGCTACTAGAAGCCGAAGGCAGCTAAGCCATACCCTAACACCCTGTTAAAAAATTAACAGGTTGATATAACCTCTTGACAGACACGTGGAGAGCAGAAAAAAACTGATATTGAAAGGAAATATTGCTCACCAAGTTGATAGTCATTGCTCTGCATATGACTTACCTTCTGAGAAGGGAGGAAGGACTTGAAGAACAATTAGTTTGGAGTCTTCATACGCTGAAAAAAGCCGGCTGCAGGGCTTCCTGGGGACATCAGGCAGTCTCCAAAAAGTGGGAACAAATCCTACACAGGTCCATGGCCAGAATCACTGATGTTTTTGAACAATTTCAAAAAAATTTCAAATCCCCCGAAGGGTTTCTACGGATTATACCGAGAAAAGAAAAAATGCTCAAACTGGCTCAAGTGCACACCATGACGGTCGCCGAGAAAAAGCATCGAGATAGCTACCGGAAATCTCCTCCTAAAATTCCCTATCTAAACTTATCTTATCTAAAGAAGTGCTTCCTGCCAAAATTCAGCGCCAAATATGAAATCCTATTATTTCATTGGTCAGAAGAAAAACACAAGAATTACTAGGTCCAAACTAACAGAAGAAGTACCGAAGAAAGAAAAGAAAAAGAAGAGTCTTCTTTTTCTTCGGTAGTACTATGTCACAACATTGTAAGATTGTGCTTAAGTCCTACTCACAGAAGATGAGTGACATACTGGACAATGACGTTTGGATGACAATATTATAACCCTAAAATAAATTCCAGAAAATAAAGAAAATAATTCTTCCAACACCGAAAATACCATTTCAGATCGAAAAATCACCTTGAATAATCCCTGAAATAAACCAGCGACATGGGCTCTATCACACCTGCAAACACAATGGTAAGTCGTTTGTTTACTCTCGGAAGGGACAACAACATTGAACTATTTCTTCGAATTCTAGGCCTCTAGGATCAGAACGCCAGAAATCAAAGACTCCTGCAGCTTATATCATCACCTCCCATCGGCACATAGAAATTCAGAAGACATTACTAATCCATGACTGTTATTATTTCTATGCTGTTATTCAAAAATGTGTGATAAGGTGGTTCATTAAAAGTTACATTCAAGTACTTCAGGATTATTTACCAAGTATCAGACTGAATGTTCTCTGTAAGTATGACTTCTTGTCTAGATCTGAAAGGTTAATATTTACAAAATGGTAATGTATGAAACAAAAAAATGAAAATGATTCTTTGCAACTTCAAATGTTGCACTAAAGCAAATTCGCTTGAATTTTCATGCAAACGATACTAAAAATTATTTTGTAGCAATTTCAAATGCTACATATACCCCTCTCCTAAGAGAAAAAATTGGTCAATTTATGGAACAATTTTTGATAGGCATTCATGTAAATTTTTGGACAATAGTAACTGCGCGTACCAAACGTTTCTCAACTGGAAGTAAAAACATAGTTCACTACCAGGTAAGAATCTAATCTTGAAAAGATCTAAATCTGGATAAAAGTCAAAATCTGGATAAGTCTAAATCTGGAAATAAGTCTAAATCTGGATAATAAGTCTAAATCTGGTTATGGTCTGAATCTGGTTAAATTCTAAATCGGTAAGTCTAGTCCAATTACATGAGTCTATCTCTAATGAGAAAAGTATTTACACAATTTTCAAAATGACAAAAAAATATTTACATCAAGGAAACTATGAAGTTCAGGTTGATCAGACCTTTCAGGAATCTTCATAGGGGAACAAAATCACTAAATAACTTGTAAGTATCTAGTGTCAAATAATATTCCATATCTAATCTCAAATATGAAATAACAAGGGTCAAGTAAGCTTACTTTATAAGGAGAACATTGAATCTCAAACTAGGTTCTGCATGAACCATAAAAATTGTTTGTGCACCAACGCACCAAAAAAATTGTCTGTGCACCAACGCACCAAAAAAATTTATCTGTGCACCAACGCACCAAAAATTTACAAAAAAAAAAAAAATTTGCTCAAAACCAACTAACAGAAGTACTCTGTAGACAAATCTAAGATAATTATGGTCTGAATAAACATTACTATCCAACAGAAACATCTGAATTGGATCCAAAATATTGTTTCAAATCTTTTATATGCCATTCCCCAGCGGGAGAACCATCGATATGATCTAAAGCATATACTAAACGAGATATTCTTTTCCTAACAATATTCAAAACATATTTGGGGGCTAATTTTGCACTAAACTTGCTCGAAGCATCTGAAAGTATCTTATTTCTCCGCCATACCTTTTCTCCTTCTTCAAATATATGATCTCTCTTTCTGAGGTTGTATGATGTCGCATTTCTCTGATAAGCCTTATGTAATCTTTCCTGTACTGTCTTAAAGCCCCTTGATATCCTGAACAAAACTATCCCTGTCATCAGGTAAAAGTTCGATATCTTGGGTTTTAGGAAGATTTCCATAATATTTGCCAGAGATAGGGACATTTCGACCGAAAGTCAAAAATGCTGGAGTATACTGGGTGACCTCATGTGTGGCTGTATTTATTGCCTGTTGAATTTTATAAATTTCCTTATCCCAATCCTTATGTTCATCTACATAACTTCTAATGGCTTGACCTATGGTCTTGTTAGTTCTCTCTACAAAATTGCACTGAGCTGAATAACGAGGGGTGTACCATATCTTTTGAACATTATAAGTGTCAGCTAGTTTTTTAAATAGTTTTCCAGCAAATTGCTGTCCATTATCGCAAACTATGAACTGTGGTACCCCAAATACCAAAAATACTTGATTTTCCATAAACTTTATAACGCTAGGTGCTTTAGAATCACGCATAGGACATAATAGTGTGTATTTTGTGAAAAAATCAGAAACTACTAACAAGTAGGTGAAACCTCTAGAAGATCTAGGAAATGGTCCCATGATATCAACAGCAATAGTTTGAAAAGGAAATTTCACTGTACGTTCAGCTCCCATGAGTCCCATACGAGGAGTGTTCGATAATTTTTGCGACTGACACACCTTGCATGTTTTGACATACCTTAAAATGTCACTTCTCATCTTAGGCCAATAGTAGTGTTCTTGTATTCTCGCAAGGGTTTTAAAAAAACCGAAATGACTACAGGTAGACGGATCATGTGAATCTTTTATAACGGAAATTCTCTGTGATTTTGGAACAATAACTTTCCATTCAACTAAATTCGACTTTAATGGTACTCTAGAAGGGACATACTTATAAATTAAATCATTTTCAATCTTAAACTGAGCATATGCATCAGGATTTCGACAAATTTTACTATTTAATGAGGCATACCATGTATCAGTTTTTTCAGGTTGTATATCAATCAAACATACTTCAGGCTCGACTTCATGGCTGTTAGAAGGAGGTATTCGAGACAGAAAATCTGGAACTACGTTCTGAGCTCCAGGCTTATGAGTAAGATTGAAAGAGTATTGTCTCAACTTGACAGCCCATCTGGCCAAACGACCGGAAGGATCTTTGAGATTGTGTAACCAGAGAAGACTATGGTGATCTGTTGTAACATTAAAAATGGTACCTTCAATATAAGGTCGAAACTTATCAATCAGAAAAATCAAACTTAGTAGTTCTCTCTCTGTTACACTGTAATTTCTTTCTGTCCTGGACAAGGATCTTGAAGCATAAGCTATCACTTTCTCGACACCTTGAACTTCCTGTATCAATACACCTCCTATCCCAACATCACTGGCGTCACATTGAATGGTAAAAGGTAGTGAAAAATCTGGGGGACATAGAATTGGTGCTGACACTAGAGCATTCTTGATGGCGACAAAGGAAGCTTCCGCTTCAGAAGTCCATTCAATAGCC